TATCAGAATTTCTTTCCTTTTTAAAGCTGAATAATACCCCATTGTGTATATATTCACTTTCTGTGCATCTATTGGTTTGCCTCTACCTTTTGGCTATTGTGACTAATGTTGCTATAAACATGAATGTACGTTAGGGTTAGGGGTTAGACTTGCACAAATGTGAAAGTTCATTTGCCTATATAGCCAGAAGTAGAATTGGTGGGCCATGACAATTCTATTCTAAATTTTTTGAGGATAGCCATACTGTTTTATGTCTGTACCGTTTTACATTATTACCAGCAATATGCAATGGCTGAATGGTGACTTTGAAAAATCTGATGGAAGTCTGGTACTTTATGCTTGGAGATACTTAGGATTTTTGTTGTTATTCTTTGAAGGCTAATACTTTTTCTAGTGGATATCTTGGAACTGGCGGTATAAGTCAGTTTTTCTCTCATATAGGTTTTTTATTTTCTTGTTTTTAAGAGATAAGTTCTCTCTCTGTTGCTCAGGCTGCAGTGTAGTGTGGTGTGATCATAATACAACCTCTAACTCATGGACTCAAGGAATCCTCCCACCTCAGCCTCCCTACTAGCTAGGACTGTAGGCACATGCCACCACACACAGGTAAGTTTTAAAAATTTTTTGTAGAGATGGAATCTTGCTGTATTGCTCAGTCTGGTCTTGAAATTCAGGCCTTAAGTCATCCTCCCACCTTTGCCTCTCAAAGCAATGAGAATAAAGCCATGAGCTACCATGCCTGGTCCCTTGTAGGCCCTATCATATTTAGATTCATATCATCTATTTTTGAATTGTTTTTTTCCATTATACTTTTAAGTAGTAGTTCTCTTTCATTGTTTTTTTTCTTCAAGAACTATATGAATGTTATTTCTTCATCTGTTTTCACTTCTAACCTCTTTCCTGATCCTTTTTACTTATTTATTTTTATTCTCTTATATTGTTTTACAACTATTTTTAAGTATCCATGATGTTTTCCTTTCCATTTATTCTTCTTTGGCTGTCTTGTGATTTAGTCTTCATTTCTCATATAATACTGTATTTTTCTTTATTTCTTTCAGAAGTTCACTCAGATCTCATTTTGCTTCAGTTTTTTGTTCATTTCTATTCTTGGTTTTTGAATTTTTAATTCAAGATGAAATCTTGTATTTCTAAATTTATGCTTAGATATTTAATTTAGCTTGGAGTTATTGTTTGTTTTTTCCTATCACCATTTTTTGAGGAGTGAAATTTTCTTAGCTGAATTGTTTGATTTCTCATATTCTCTCTCTCTCTCTCTCTCTCTCTCTCTCTCTCTCTCTCTCTCTCTGTGTCTCTTATTTCTGTAGCAACTGTCAGAATCTAGTATTTTTGAGACTTTTTTCCCTAGCTCAAGAAAACTTGTGAGCATAGCAAAGTATGGTTTCTTTACTGAATTGCAAGGGAAAGAGAGGTTGAGTATGCTTTTTATTATTCTCTTTTGTTTTCACTAGGCTCTGAATTTCCTTCTCTTGCCTGTTTTTCCCTTTATCTTGCCGTTTCCAAGGGGTGCCCCTTTTCCTTACATTCTACACTCTCCATTGTACTGTTCTTCCACCAGTTGTGAGGTTAAAGAGTAGGCCCTGCCTCACTCATGGGGAGAGCATGTTCACCTGACATCTCTCATTTCTGTTTTCCTTACCCAGATCTATCTTCTGAGATATCACCCTTCTTTAGGGACACCAGAAAAAAGGCCACAGGGTCCTGGAGAGCCAGGGGAATGGTGAGTGTTTCCTGTCTCCATACTGACTGTCACAGGATGACACATTCCCTTTTTGTGCCCTGACTGCATTATTGGCACCTAAAAGAATCCAATTCCAATTCTGGATATGTGAATTATCTTAACAGAAGTCCTCCCTCGGCATCTTTGTTCAACCTATGACTCGGTTATTCACCTACTAGTTAACTCTAAATGACACACAATTCTACAGTGCAAGATACAGTCCACATTTTTTGGTTCAGCTTCTAAACTTCTACTGGCTGAGAGTACATCATGATACTAGAGTAGGAAGATCCAAGATTCTATCTGCCCACCTAGAGAATTATACTAGCAGAATCTTTCTGATGTTCCTGTTTTGGAACTCTGGAGTCTAGTTGAACTTTGGAGTCATGCAGATTCCAGGGAAAGACACAAAGGGTAAATTATACTGAATTTCAACTCTTAGCACAGTAGCAACTACTGTCTGCCACTCGGTCAGCCCTATGGCAGGCAGCCATGCATGTATTTCTTGAGCAGCTTGCATATGGTTTATGGTGAGACAGGGTGGGCAATAAGGATCTTGACTCCAAATATTGAGGATCAGTGTTTTGATTGCTAATTGCTGTTTCTTATGGTCCAGCATTGTTGCAACCCCTACTGGTTGAAATGGCTTTAGGGGATTTAAGGAGCCAGAGCCTCGTCTCTCACCTCCCTTTTATTTTTCTTTTATCCCATTTGAGATCCAGGCATTTAAGTAGGACATTCAAAGTAAACTGCATATATAGTGGGAGCATAGAAGGTCATTATGCATACCTATGGAAAGGCACAGGCTCGGAAAACATCTGAGAAGACCTTAAGCTTGTCCTTCAGGATTATTCTTAGCATAGAGAAACCCTACAGCATTTTTAAAAAACAAAAATAGCACCAGATGTGGTGACTCATGCCTGTAATCCCAGCACTTTGGGAAGCTTAGGCAGGAGGATCACTTAAGGCCAGGAATTTAAGATCAGCCTGGGCAACAAAACAAGACCTTGTCTCTACAAAAAAAAAAAGGAAGAAAAAAGAAATATCAGTCAGGTATGGTAGCACATGCCTATAGTCCCAGCTACTCAGGAGACTGAGGCAGGAGGATCATTTGAGCCCAGGAGTTTGAGGCTGCAGTAAGTTGTAATCAAGCCACTGCACTTCAGTCTGGGTGACAGAATGAGACACCCTGTCTCAAAGAAATTTAAGTAAAAACAAAAAGCAAAAATGCAAGCAAAAGGGAAACTCTGACTTCTAAGTTGCCATATTATAAGCATTGAATGTCTAATTTTCAATAAAAATCACAAGGCATACAAAGAAATTAGTAGTATGGGCCATTAAAGGAGAAAAAACATCAATAGGAAACATCCCTGAGAAAAGCCAGATAGTAAACTTACTAGACAAAGACTTTAAAACAACTGTCTTAAAGATCTAAAGGAAAATGTGGAGAAACTCAAGAAAACAGTGTAAGAACAAAATGGAATACAAATAGAAAACGTAAACATAAACCCCCCAAAAAATTTCGGAGCTGAAGAGTACAATATCTGAAATGAAAAATTCATTAGAAGAGTTCTGAAGATAGAAAACTGAAATTATTCAGTCTGAGGAACACAGAGAAAAATATTAAAGAGAACAGAGCCTAAGGGACCTATGGGACACCATCAAGTGGAATAACTGTGTATTGTGGGATACAGAAGAAGAGGGAGAAAGGGACAGAGAGGTTACTTGTAGAAATAATGGCTAAAACTTCACAAATTTGACAAAATACTTGAATATTCAAGTTGCTCAATGAAGTACAAGAAAAACTCACAGACCCACACTGAGACACAATATAATGAAAGCATCAAAAGCCAAAGATGATAAGAGAATTTTGAAAGCAGCAAGATAAAAGCAACTCATTATATGCAAAGGATTCTCAGTAAGATTATCAGCAAATTTCTCAAAAATCTCAGAGACCAGCAGTCAGGGAATTGATATGTTCAAAGTGCCAAAGGGGGGGGAAAAACTGTCAACCAAGAATCCTATATCTGGCAAAACCACCATTCAACACTGTGGGAGAAATTAAGATTTTCTCAGGGAACCAAAAGCTGATGGAGATTACTACCACCACACTTGCCCTCCAAGGAATACTAACAAAAGTCTTAAAAATTGAAATGAGCCGGGCTCAGTGGCTCAGCCTGTAATCCCGCATCTTTGGGAGGCTGAGGTGAGTGGATTGCCTGAGCCTGCGGGTTTGAGACTCGCCTGGGCAACTTGGCGAGACTTCATCTCTACAATAAATCAAAAATTAGCGGGGCGTGGTAGCACACACCTGTAGTTCCAGCTACTTGGAAGGCTGAGGCAGAAGGATTGCCGGAGCCCAGCAGGTCAAGGCTGCAGTGGCCGGGAGCGGCCACTGCACTCCAGTCTGGGTGACAGAGTGAGACTTCAACTCAAAAAAAAAAAAATTGAAATGAATGGACACTAAACAATTAAGATTATCTGTTAAAGGCAAATGCATAAGTGATAATATCAACTAGCATTATATAACTTTGGTTTATAACTTTGCTTATTGTTTTCTACATTACTTAGGAGACTACTGCATTTAAAAAATTAGGGGTTTTTTTGACCACACATTGCATAAAGACATGAACTTGTGACATCAGTAACTGAAGGGAGATGGAATAGACTGTATAGAAACAGTTTTTGTATGTTCTTGAAGTTAAGCTGATAAATTCAAACTAGAGTTTTGTGACTTTAAGATTTAAAAGTAATCCCCTTGGTAACCATAAAGAAAATAGCTATAGAATATATAGAAAGGGAAATGAGGTTGGCACGGTGGCCCATACCTGGAATCCCAGCACTTTGGGAGGCTGAGGTGAGGGGATTGCCTGAGCCCAGGAGTTTGAAAGCAACCTGGGCAACATGACAAGACCATGTCTCTACAAGAAATATAAAAATCAGCTTGGTGTGGTGGTGTGCACCTGTAGTCCCAGCTACTTGGAAGACTGAGGGGGAAGGATCACCAGAGGCTGTGGTAGCTGTGTTTGTGCCACTGCATTCCGGCCTGGGCAACAGAGTGAGACTCCAACTCGAAGAAAAAGGAAAGGGAAATTAGAAGGCAATTTAAAATAACCTTGAATTTTAAATTGAAAGCAGCAACTTAAATATCTGAAAATTGGGTATAAAGGTCTTGGAACACATGGCAACAGGGTCACTGTCGAAGGCAGGCTCTAATAATCTCACTGGCTCCTGGTGAGCAGGACTGGGTTTTGTGTTACAGGCACACATGGCATTCACGGATGTGGCTGTGGATTTCACCCAGGAGGAGTGGAGGCTGCTGAGCCCTGCCCAGAGGACCCTGTACAGGGAGGTGATGTTGGAGAACTACAGTAACCTGGTCTCACTAGGTAGGTGTGGACCTCTCAGGACTCATATTTCTTTCTACTGGAAGTTGTATGCTTTGCTTGAAGTGGCCATTGTGTTTTTTGACTTGGCCATTGGGTTGGACTCAAAAGCAAAGACATTTTGTTCTCTATTTCCTAGGGAAGGTCTGATTTTGTAGAGTAGAAAATGGGTCTATTTTTGTGTGTGTCCATGTGTGTATGTTTTTGTGATGTTCTATTTGTAAGCCTTTTCTCCCAGGCTGAGGCTCTTTTTGTTAGAGATGAGGTCTCACTATGTGCCCATGCTGGTCTCAAACTCCTAGGCTCAAGCAGTCCTCCCACCTTGGCCTCCCAAAGTGCTGGGATTACAGGCATGAGCCACCGCACTCAACCTTAGGCTCTCTTTGAAGTTATAGTCTTTCAGATGAGAGCGGTGTCATCAACATGGAGTAGACTCAAAGTGCGCTTATCTGAATTCACTTTCCCCACTCATCTTCGTACCACTTTTAAGTTCCTCACCCAGTTTGACTCTGAATTCTTGAATGGACCCTGGAACCTATGACCTTCAGTAATTTTGTTTTCTTTCCTTGTGAGCAGGAATTCCATTTTCTAAACCAAAACTTATCACCCAGCTGGAGCAAGAGAAAGAGACCTGGAGAGAGGAGAGAAAATGTCCACTAGCCACCTGCCCAGGTGAGTCAGAGAACACTGGCAAATGGGACACAGAGGAGGCACTGGTCAGGTACTTGACCTCCTAGGCTGCTGTTCAGACTGCCTGGCATGGCCTTGCAGATTTTCTTCTTCATTTGAGTGAGGGGCTTTCCTGGTAGCTCTTGTCTCTCTCCTCCACCATGAAGTCTTTCTTCTTCCCGTTGGGTTTGTCTTCACTAGCTCACTCCATTTTCTTTCACACTGATGGGCTTCTTTCTCTCATTACTGTTTTTAAAAAGATCGGCAAGAACACAGAAAAAAACCGAGTGAGCTAGGGAAATAGGGCAAGACCACTGGGCGGAAGGAAAGTCAAAAAGCCCGTTGAGACATCGAAACAGAATTCTAAAAGGCTGTGAGCTAAGCATGGCTTTTACATTTTTGGGTGGTTATATAAATATATAACATCCTCGATTTTGCCCTCAAAGCCTATAAGCCATTTACTGTCTTTAAGATAAAATTGACTGACCACTGCTCTAACGGAGTATAATGTATAGCTATAACTTTTTATATTCTGCTTAATTCGGGCACCACTTATAGTAAAACGTAAGGGCATTGCCACTGCGCAGTCCCAGTTACCCTTTCCTCCCAGCATCCTTCACGCTGTAGTTGTCATTTGTATGAGTGTTAAAATACTTGTTTTAGGCCGGGCTCAGTGGCTCAGCCTGTAATCCCAGCACTTTGGGAGGCCATCGTGAGCAGATTGCCTGATCCCGTGGGTTCAAGACCCACCCGGGCAACTTGGCGAGACCTCGTCTGTACAATAAATCAAAAATTAGCTGGGTGTGGTATCGTGCGCCTGTAGTTCCAGCTACTTGAAAGGCTGAGGCAGAAGGATCGCAGGAGCCCAGCAGGTTGAGGCTGCGGTGGCTGGGAGCATGCTACTGCATGCCAGTCTCGGCAACAGAGTGAGACTCCAACTCAAAAAAAAAAAAAAAGAAGAGAAAAAAGTACTTGTTTTAAACACTTGTGTAATTTTTAATTGAGAAAAATAGTTAGAAAACTGTCTTTTTATACTCATCTAGATAATGTAGCATTTTCTGTTTCCTTAGTTTTTTTTCCTGAAGATCTGAGTAGGTTTTCTGGATTATAATAGAAGAGGTACAAAGTAGTGGTGGCTGGACAATAGGGCATGTGAAGGAAGTCTTGGTTGGGAGCACTTGAGTTGTGAGCATTTTGAAGACCAGGGGATCGAGCCTCCCAGTCAGACTAGGCAGAGTGCTTGGGCCACCCCACCAAGAACTCAGTTCTGACCCAGACTTTCTCTCTGCAGCAGAACCAGAGCCAGAACTCCACCTCCATCCATTCTGCCCTCCTGATTTCTCCAGTCAGAAGCTCCCCATGCAGCATGTGCCGTGTAACCACCCACCCTGGCTTTTCACTTGCCTGTGTGCAGAGAGTCATATCCAGCCAGGGGACCCATGCCCAGGGTACCAGGAGAAGCAGCAGCAGGCCACTGGCGGAATTTCCTGGAGTGACAAAGCAAAAGGCCAAGACAGTGAAGGTGCCAAGCCTTTGTTGGGAAGGACAAAGAAAAGGACACTAGGGGCGTTCTCCAGGCCACCGCTGAGGCCGCCGGTCAGCTCCCAGAATGGCCTCAGAGGGGTGGAGACAGAGGCCAGCCCAGCCCAGACGGGGAGCCCGGAAGAAACAGACAAATTGCTGAAGAGGATAGAGGTCTTGGGGTTTGGAACAGTCAACTGTGGAGAGTGTGGCCTGAGCTTCAGCAAGATGACAAACCTGCTCAGTCACCAGCGGATCCACTCAGGGGAGAAGCCCTACGTGTGCGGGGTGTGTGAGAAGGGCTTCAGTCTCAAGAAGAGCCTCGCCAGACACCAGAAGGCCCACTCTGGTGAGAAGCCCATCGTGTGTGGGGAGTGTGGGCGGGGCTTCAACCGGAAGTCCACGCTCATCATCCACGAGCGGACACACTCAGGCGAGAAGCCCTACATGTGCAGTGAGTGTGGGCGTGGCTTCAGCCAGAAGTCCAACCTCATCATACACCAGAGGACACACTCGGGGGAGAAGCCGTATGTGTGCCGGGAGTGTGGCAAGGGCTTCAGCCAGAAGTCGGCTGTCGTCAGACACCAGAGGACACACTTGGAGGAGAAGACCATCGTGTGCGGTGACTGTGGCCTGGGCTTCAGTGACAGGTCCAACCTCATCTCCCACCAGAGGACACACTCGGGAGAGAAGCCTTACGCCTGCCAGGAGTGTGGGCGGTGCTTCAGGCAGAGGACGACTCTCGTCAACCACCAGAGGACACACTCGAAGGAGAAGCCCTACGTGTGCGGAGTGTGTGGGCACAGCTTTAGCCAGAATTCCACCCTCATTTCCCACAGGCGGACGCACACGGGCGAGAAGCCGTATGTGTGCGGGGTGTGTGGGCGAGGTTTCAGTCTGAAGTCACACCTCAACAGACACCAGAACATACATTCAGGGGAGAAGCCCATCGTGTGCAAGGACTGCGGGCGCGGCTTCAGCCAGCAGTCGAACCTCATCAGACACCAGAGGACGCACTCAGGCGAGAAGCCCATGGTGTGTGAGGAGTGCGGTCGCGGCTTCAGCCAGAAGTCCAATCTGGTCGCACACCAGAGAACGCATTCAGGAGAGAAGCCATACGTGTGCCGGGAGTGTGGGCGCGGCTTCAGCCACCAGGCCGGCCTCATCCGGCACAGGAGGAAGCACGCCAGGGAGAAGCCCTACTTGTGCAGGCAGTGTGGACTCGGCTTTGGCAACAAGTCGGCCTTAATCACACACAAGCGGCTCCACTCCGAGGAGAAGCCTTGCGTGTGCCGAGAGTGCGGCCAAGGCTTTAGCCAAAAGTCACACCTCAGCTTACATCAGGTGACACACAAGGGCGAGAAGCCCTATGTATGCAAGACGTGTGGACAGGGCTTTAGCCTGAAGTCTCATCTCACCAGACACAGGAAGGTCAAGTCTGTCCACCACAGACCTCCCCTCCCGACCGATGCTGAGGCCTTTGTGATACAGTGTTCTGACCCCTTCTATGCCGTCTGAAAGTGCAGACAGTGGCAAGAACTGACCGTCAGGATTTTTACTGTTATGAAGTGGAGTAGAAACATACATTACTTTAGTGGTCAAAGGATGTTTGACTTGTTTACTTTCTCCACTGTCTTCTCCATGTTTTGTGGCCTTTTGTTCTAATAAACTTTGCCTCTTACAAATCTGTAACCTTGACTCTGTCTCATTCACTCATCCCTAAAGACAGAGAATTAGCAGTGACCCAGATATCTGGAACTCTTAAGTCCACTGTTCCACAAGAATTCACTTCCTTAGGAAACATAAGAACCTAATCGATTGTATATTTATTGGAAAGTCTGGTCTTTTGTATAAGGAGATAATCTAGGAGCTGTCTACAGAAATTTCAAGTGGGGGCAAAGAATCTTCCAGAAGATGTGGCTTCTGGTCCAGTCCCATCTGTAGCCACCCTCTTCCCTTGGCTCTGACAGCTCCTCTTCCTGCTTCTCTCCTTGGAGCTCTTAAACGTCTGTGTTGTTGCCCTGACTTACCTGTATTACTTTTCTCAGGCTTTAGTCCCTGGTTCTCCCATCTGGGGACCTCTCACCAACACACTGTCCCCAGCACTCCAGTCCCACATAACAATGTTTCAGTCAAAGGTGGATCAGATATGACTGGTCCCATACAGTTATAATGGAGGTAGTCAACTAGTCACCTACCAGTGGGAAATATGTGGAGGTAGAAGACGGTGACACTGATGATCCTGACCCCATACAGGCATCAGCTAATGTGTGTGTTTGGATCTTAGTTTTTAACAATCAATAATTTAAAACAAAAACGCTTATAGAATAAGGATATAAAAAATATTTTTGTACAGCTGTATACTGTTTATGTTTTAAGTTGAGTGTTATTACCAAAGCATTAAAAAGTTTTAAAATGTATGAAAAAATTAGTCAGCTAAGTTTAATTTATTATTTTAAAAAATTGAAATAAATTTAGTGTTGCTTAAGTGTATAGTGTTTATGAAGTCTACTTTTTATCTTTTATACTATTTTATCATACCTTTTCTATGTTTAGATACACAAATACTTAACCATTGTGTTCTAGTTGCCTGCAGTGTTCAGTACAGTCACATGCTATACAAGTTTGTAGCCTAGGAGCACTAGGCTACACCATACAGCCTAGGTGTGTAGGAGGCTATACCATCTAAGTTTGCATAAGTATACTCTACGATGTTCATGAACTATGAAATTGCCTAAGGTTTTCTCAGAATGTATCCCTGGGGTTACATGATACATGGCTATATTTGGATGGTCTGCAACTGTGTGTCTTCCTCAGCTGTCCAATAATAGAGGTAAGACCCTTGAAGCCACACTTGCAAATCAATCCTGTAATATCAGGGTTTAGGGCTTTCAATCATGCTCCTCAGCAACCTATACCTGGACCCAGTGCCCATGCCAGTCAATCAGGTCACTGGTCTAAGCGCCCTCAGACACACACCCTCAGTAGTTCTCCAGTCACAGAGCTAATGATATCTAACCCTATTTAAAGACTGTTAATAACCACACCTCCATTGTGTTCCAGTCCAAATTGATTTTGCTCAAAATTAGTGGTCCTCAGGGTACATATCTCAAGGGAACAACCCTATTTTAAGACTGTGTGATTCCCATTATTTAAGTGTGTGATTGCTAGACTATGCCCAAAATGGTTTCTGAATTTTAAGGGTATCTCAGCCCAAACCAGAGGGAAATGTCTGGAAGAGCTTTATGAATATGGTTTATCTAATGAGATGAACTTCAACAAGAGGAACCCATAAACAATTGTCATAGAAAAACCAGCTTGGTCTAAAAAGGACAAAAAAACCCTACCTTTTTATGGGCAGAGAAGCAGGTTGAGAAATCTAAGCTGCAAACACAGGCCATTTTTCATGGAAAAGGAAGAGTAAATCTGGAGACATTCAATACGCCATGCATACATTCATGATAAGTATGAGCCGCATGGTCCTGTGTGTGATGTGCACAAGGGAAGACCCGGGAGGCCTCACACAGCAACAAGTCCTGCAGCCGTTCACCATCATCAGAAGTGTCTAGACACTGGTGGGAACCACTCTTGTAATTGTAGAAGTCAAACGTGACTTTATTCATCTTTTGTTACTAGCGTATAGTGAGAATTACAATTTTAATACACTCCTTTCTTAAAATGTGTATACTTTTTTCTTTGGCACCCTGTGTATATCATGAACTGGAGACATGTGACCCTCCCATGAATTTCAGCTGGCCTTAGTAACTGGCTTAATCAAGAGAGTGTAGCAGAGGCAATACAGGACTTCTGGGACAAGTTCATAAGGAGACTTACAGCTTCTACTTTTCAAACCCTGCTGCCATGCTGTGAAAACTCCAAGCCACATGGAGAAGCCATGGAGGCATTTTATTCCTCAGTCGTAGCTGAGTCAGCTATCAGTGAGCATCAACTCATGCGAACAAGCCATCTCAGATGTTCTGTTCAGTCAGTACTTCAGATAACTGAACAGATAGTTATCTTCAGATGACTGAAACTCTGGCTGACATCTACAACCTCAAATGAGAACCTCAAATGAGAACCACTAAGCTGAGCTCAGTCAACCTGTAGAACTGTTGGATGATGATGATAATGTTGTTGCTTTAAGCCCTACATTTTAGGACTGTCTGTTATACAGCAATGGATAAATGAAACACCTTTATAACCCAGGACTGACTTTCTAACTGTGACTCAAAATCTCAAAGTCATAATGAAGTCAAACTTGTCTACACAAAAAATTCTGCAAGGCAACCTACACCTTCATACAAAACATAAGACAAACAATGCAACAGAAAATACTCAATATAAGAACAGATAGCTTCCAGTATAGAAAGTCTTTTGTCATCTGAAAATATCCTTGACATCAGTAAAGATACAAAGGAAAACCACACAGAGATATCATTTATACCTTTGTACCTGTCAGATTAGCCAAAATCACAAAAATTGAAAGCAGTCTGGTAGACTGAAGACAAGTACACTTATACATTAGTCTTGGGAATATACAATGGCACAAGTCTTATGGCGGACAACTTGGTAATATCTATTAAAATTAAAAATGCATATTCCCTTTGATCCCATAATCCCACTTAATGGAACTTACCCAGTAGCTATCCATATTCATGTGCAAAATTATTTATGTAAGTTCTTCAGTGCAGCAGTGATTTCAAATATTAGCATAGAAAAAATGCATTTAGTAGAGGAACTGATTAAATAAGTCAATCATGTATGAATAGAACAATATGCTGCCATAACAAAGAATGAGAAACATAACTATGTACTTAGATGAAAAGACCTCCAGGATTAATCACTTGGGAGAGGACAAGAAGAAACAGTACAAGAACTCTATGTCCAGTGTGCTAAGTTTTAGGTTAAAAGAGGCAGGCAATACAAGAACATATTTTTGGAAGAACAAAGTTGGAGAACTTAGTACTTCTCAAGTTCAAAATGTACTATAAAGCTATAGTAGTCAAATAATTAGTGTGTTTAAAAACAAAACAAAAAAACCCCACATCTAACAGCAAAATTTTCTTCTAAAATGACCCAGAAAGGCAGTTTTCCATCCAAACTTGCAGGATAGAATTCTCTGAATATAATACTACACCCTATTTTTCTTCCAAAGTCGTCTTGAAAATAGGATTTTTCATCTGAATTTACCAAGTCTTATGAACTTTCAGCAATAATTCTTATACTAGATTTTTCTAAAATGACCTAGAAAAATCATATGTTGGATATTTTGACTCAGATTCTCGGGAAATGTGATATTTTCATCCAAATCTGCTCAATTTTGAGGACTTATTGGAACTAAATCTACACCAGAATTTTCTTCTAAAATATGCTGAAAATGTGATTTCTTAGCCAAATTCACTCAAATCTTAGGACCTTCTGGATGTAAATCCTGTGCAAGACTTTTCTTCTAAAAGACCTGGAAATGTGATCAAATTGACTCAAATAGTTAGATTTTTTGGACATAATTCCTATGTCAGAATTGTCCTCCAAACCTCCTTAAATTGTGATTTTGGGGTGCAGTAATCTCTGTGCCAGATTGTTCATTGTAAATGGTTGGGAAATATTATTTTTTCTTAAAATGTACTACCAAAGTTTAGCAGACATAAGTCCTATGCCAGATTTTCTTCCAAAATGCCCCCAAACATGATTTTTTTTTAAAATCCAAATTTACTCCAAAATGCAGAAGGTTCTTTTGTTTGGTTGGTTGCTGATTTTTTTTATTGTTGTTTTTGCAAATCAGCCCTATGCCAGCTTTTTCTTCCCAAAAGTGGGGGTTTTTTGTATAGAAGTCTAATGCAAATTTTTTTCTTTCAAAATGGCTCAGAACGATGATTTTTTTTTTCATCCAAACTTCCCAGAAGTGTAATTTTGGACATAATTGCATGCCACATTTTTTTCCAAATTTACATAAAAAATAATCCAAATTTGCTAAATCTTGGGAGTAGGAGGAGGGAGGTGGTGGACATGAATGCTTCATAATTTTTTTCCCAAAATGTAACAGAAATGCAATTTTTAAAACTCCACATTCATTCAAATTGTGGAGGTTTGTTTCCTTTTTTACATAAGTCTTAAGGCAGTTTTTTTCCCTCAAAAATGTCCTAGAAACATGACCTTTCATCCAATTTGACTCTGACTGTAGGTTATTTTGGATATAAATCCTATGCTAGATTATACTTCCAAAATGGCCTGGAAATATATATATATTCAAATTCTCAGAAATCTTAGGCTTCTGTTGTTTTCGTTGTTCAGTCATGTTCAAGTCCTGGCATGGTGAATTACTGTTTAGATCAGGAAATTGTGTCACCAGAGAATTACTGATTAAAAAATAAACACACAAATCTATGCATCTCAGTAAAATGGCCCTCAGGAACTACAAATGGCTTTACTTAGGGAGTTAATGACTCTGGGTATGTGTGAGGCCAAACATTTTCTACCTCAATGAGAGTCCTTTGTATGCTTTTCACACATACAATCTGTTCTTTGGCTTGAGGTTTCTTTTATGTTCTAGGACCTGGTATTGTCTCTTGCATGCTTATGTTTCTTTGACAGTATTGCATACCTATTTCATGGTAGAGTAGGAACTCTAAAACTCTGTCCCTCTGCAAAAGCAATGAATAATCTGGCAAAAACTCAGAATCAAAATTTTTTGA